CAGACCGTACAAGGTGGTTATGACCCATCTGAAATGCCAGCCAATGCCATCACCTACATGTCCACAGCTCCTAAAGAAGATTGTTACTGCGCTGTTTCCCCAACAGCTAGTATTCACCTACAAGTTGGAGCAGCTCAACCCTGAAGACATCCCAACTATCACGTTGGATGAGTTGATAGAGGCAGGCAATCGAGTAGGGAATAATTAGGCACCGGGATTGGACGGAATCCCTAATATTGCCATGAAATCAATCCTTAGGGCAGCACCGACATTATTCCTGGACGTCTACGATACATGCCTGAAGGAAGGGACTTTTCCCCAGAAGTGGAAACAGCAACGGTTAGTGTTACTTCCGAAAGGAAAAAAGCCGCCGGAAGAACCATCATCCTACCGACCACTCTGCATGTTAGACACGGCCGGCAAGATATTCGAGCGCATAATTCATCAGAGAATAGAGGCTTTAGTCGATCCACTTCTGGCAGAGAACCAGTTTCGTTTCCGAAAAGGACGGTCCACTCTGGATGCGATCAAATTGGTTGTTGATACAGCCAAGGATGCAATCGCTGGAACGAGATGGAAGAGTGGAGAGAAGAAATACTGCTTGGTGGCTGCTTTGGACATCAAGAATGCCTTCAACTCCGCTAACTGGGACTGTGTTATGCGGGCTCTAGAGGAAAAAAGCGTACCAGGATACCTTCGCAGAATAAGGTGGTTATGACCCACCTGAAAAAAACAACAAATGCCATTACCTACGTGTCCTCAACTTCTTCAGAAAATCGTCACTGCACTGTTTCCACAGCAACGCAACTACGATTACCAGTTGGCGCCAGGCGAATTGGACGCCATCCCACCTGTCACTGAAGAAGAACTGCTGGAGGCTTGTAACCGTGTAGGGAATAATAAAGCGTCGGGATTGGACGGAATCCCTAATTTATCCTTGAAAACCATCATAAAGGCAGCTCCAACATTATTCCTAGACGCTTATAATGCATGCTTCAAGGAGGGGACTTTTCCTCGTAAGTGGAAACAGCAACGATTGGTACTGTTACTTAAAGGGAACCAACCACCAGAAGAACCGTCATCTTACCGACCACTTTGCATGCTAGATACGGCGGGTAAGATATTTGAGCGCATAATTCATCAACGAATAGATGCAGTAGTCGACCCACTCCTGGCAGACAACCAGTATGGATTCCGGAAAGGACGATCAACCCTGGACGCGATCAATCTGGTTGTTAGCACGGCTAAAGAAGCGATCGCAGGAACCAGATGGAAGGGTGGCACAAAGAAGTATTGCCTGGTGGCGGCATTAGACATTAAAAACGCCTTCAATTCCGCCAACTGGAACTGCATCATGCAAGCTCTTCGAGAGAAAAACGTTCCAGAATACCTGTGTAGAATAGTGGCCAGCTATTTCACCGATAGAGTTCTTAAATACGACACGAAGAATGGTCCAAAAGAGTACGATATTACCGGAGGTGTACCCCAGGGCTCTGTACTTGGTCCACTGCTGTGGAATATCATGTACGATGGCCTATTGAGATTGAAATTGCCAAGAAGTGTAAAACTCGTAGCATATGCAGACGACGTAGCCGTAGTAATCGTCGCTAAACACCTTGACGAAATTAACAATATGTTCGACATCACCTTCGAGCGAGTCCATCGGTGGATGAATACGATAAACCTGCATCTGGCACAAAACTGAAGCAGTGCTTATATCCAGCAGAAAAGTGTTAGAGACCATCAAGCTGAAAGTCGGCGAACAAGAAATCACATCACAACCTTACATCCGATATTTGGGAGTGACGCTTGATGCCCGTCTGAACTTTAAACAGCAAGTGGAACACGTCAGTGCCAAAGCGTCAGTAGTGAGGGCTAGTTTCGCACGACTGATGCCGAACTTCGGAGGCCCAAAGCAGAGCGGGAGACTACTACTATCATCAGTTGTCACATCGGTGCTCACATATGGAATATCCATTTGGGCAGAAGCGCTGAAGTTGCAAGAATCATGGAGAAAAGCTGGACCAGTATATCGACTGAGCGCTGTAAGACTAGCCAGTGCATTCCGCACGATATCAGAAGTAGCAGTGTGTGTCATTTCCGGAACTCTGCCGCTCAGAGTTCTAGCTGAGGAAAGACGGAACCTTTACCAACGAAAGAGGTCAACCACACTAAATGCCGAGGAGCTCAGAGCTGAAGAACGGCAGAACAGCATCGCACGATGGCAATCGACGTTTGGATGAACCGGAGTCATGGCGAGGTCAATTACTATCTGACGCAGATGTTGTCAGGACATGGATGTTTTCGGACGTATCTTCACCGCTTCAAGCATGATGATTCAACCGAGTGCCCGTCCTGCCCAGGAATCAATGAAGACGCGGAGCACGTTTTCTTTGAGTGCCCACGATTTTACCCACAGCGCGATGAGCTGGAGATGATCCTGAAGAAGAAAATCCAACCAGAGACAATAGTAGAAGCAATCCTGTCATCAGAGGCTGCCTGGAACGCCGCAAACACGTTTGCAACAGAAGTCCTTATAGACTTGCGTTCCATCGAAAGAAAAAGAGCAAATGACAACAACTAGAAGAAAGATAAAATAATACCTTAGTTACCCAAAGAAAGAGCAGTCGCTATATCCGACCCCCCCCCCCCCCCACGAAGTAATGCCTAACGGCGGTTTCCATGAGGGATTAGAGGAAAGAGGAAAGGGGTTTAGGGTTTAGTGGGTAGGGGCGTTAGCGTCAAGTTTTAGTATGATGCTGCGTCGAGTCGCCACATATCCAGGCCAAACAGCTACGCCTAGAATCCGTAAAAAGGATTCCCCCCCCCCTAAGGGGAAAAAAAGCCTATTCGGCAGCTGAAATGGAAGTAGATTTCTCAAATAAAGACAAATTTGTTTTTTGTGAAATAAAATTAATAATAATATGTAACATAATTCTTTAATTAAAGAAAAATTAAATAATTAATTTAAAACTATTTAGAACTAATTTTGTTCAAAATAAACATCTGCTTGATTTAGTATTATAATAGTGTGAATTCAGTCAGTAGAATTCTAATATCAACTTATTGAAAATGTTTCTATTTAATATTAAGTTACAACCATCAAAACAAACAAAACGACTGCAAGAGTAAAATTTCATAGAAACGAACCCAGAATAGAAATTTTTGGCCTGGAAATATATGTAAACATGTAAATTAAAGCTTTTTTTCCCAGCTTTTAGATGCATTTTACAGAATTCAAATATCTTGACGCGTTTAAAAGTTATTTGAAAGAAAAGCGGTAAAAATATGGAATTTTCGAATTTTAAAAAGTTGTAATTTCTAAATTAATTGATCGATTTGGCTCAAATTTGAACTCGACCTTCGTAATCGTTTATAGAACAAGTATGTTGAGTTTCATTGAAATCCCTAAAGAATTGTAGACGCTATAGTGCTGACAAGCCCCGCGTTATATCGTATATATATGTAACTCAGCAGCTTTGCAACACGTAAACCATGAAGATTCAATGTCACAAATAGGTCTTGAAAGTTTACCCAAACCACCAGGTCATTTAAGTCAGGGTTCAACGCATAATGAAACTTCAGCTCAAAATTCCGTGAAACAAACGTTAATCTCAACGTGTCAAAAAAATGGGCCAAAACAGACTTATAATCCTCTACCATCAACATCTCATCAAGATCAATCAAAGATACATATTGAATTACCCGAATCTGTGTCACCTCACTCGCAATCGGTCAATTCTAATGCAGCTATTGAATCCGAGAGTTCACAAGAAGATGAAGAGCAAAGAACTCTTCCAGAAGTAGCAGAATCGATCGCTACGATGCCCCGTGGACAAAGTAAGATTAAACTTAGGTTTAAATTTTTGTTAAATTTCAATTTAATGAATTTTTTATATTTACAGTTACAGAGAACAAGATGTCTGAATTCAAGAACAATTTTATTTATCATTTAAAAGAGCTCATGAACAACAACAAGCTTCTAAAACTGTTGATAACGGATATAAGGTAGTTAATTAAGTACGAATAATAATTATTATTAATCAGTTAAATAATTAGTAATTGCTTGAAATCGATTTCTTATATTTTATACTTTTGTGTAGGTCCCAGAAACTTTTTTAAAAGATGGTGATGACAAAGTAAGTCTTTAATTACTCAAATTCAAAACTCCGTGTTGATTATTTATTTTACCTTATTTATTTGTTATTATTTAGGTGGAGATCTATCCTAAATGTGGGTTCTACCTTCCGAAAAATGTAAAAACATTAATAGATTTCAAGTACGAAGAAGAAAATGCATGGAATGTCATTGTTAAAGAAGTTTTACTGGCTGTTTATGGTGAAAATATTATTCACTTTTCTGCGACTGGAAAAGGACCTAAATCTCGTCCGAAAATAAATGTCAAGTTGTTTAACGGGTTATTGGGTAAGATTTTATATTGAAATATAATTTATAAAATATTGTAATTACAAATTGATGACATAACTTTATATTTCAGCTTGGATTAACCATGGAAAAGTTGGAGAAGAACTTGTTGACAGAAAAAAACTAATGAATGAAATTAATCATATTAGTTCAAATAAGAGAGGCTATCAGAAATCAAAGCAAGCAAAAAAATAAACAGATTCGGCATGGTTTTCATAAATAATTATATTTTATTTTTTATTTATTATTTATTCACGTACTTATTTTTTAATTTCAATAAATTATAAAAAATATAATTCAACCTGGTTTTAAACTTGTCAACCTTCTATAAACTAACCTACTATTAACCTGAAAAGCCTTAAAGTTGAACATAAGTTCAGCCTGAAAAGCCTTAAATTTAAACATTATTCTAAACTGAACAACCTTACTTGACGCTCCTATCAAACTGAACATTCTGAATTACTCATTTAATATTTAAACTGAATTTCAACCTGCTAGTCCTGATAAGTAAAATAACCCGGCCTTTCAGTTTCAATTCAGACTTTCTTTTATAAGGCATTTTAAATAGTAATTTTTTATTTGTTGCACCGAGAGTTAGCAGTTTGAACAGCTTGAAATAAGGCTGAACCTTTTCGACTCGGGTACCCCCGGGTACTAGGAGAAGCCGACGATGTTGAAGAACCGTTTGGAGAATCTAATCCAATTTTCTCATCAATTTTTCGTTTATTTGAATTCAATACAGCCGACTTCTCGTCCTGATTATCAACTTCATCAGGAATTTTTTCTTCTTGAGACCTAGTTTTCGCTTGTTCAATGGCCAACGACACATTTTCCTCATTAATAGCTTTTTGCTGTAGTACTTTTTCATCATCTGAAATAAAATTTTATTAGTTTAGTGCATAATGCGTATAATTTTAAATGCGTAAAAAATTGTTGATAAATCTAATTTTTTTTTTACTTTTTAACCTTCACTAAGTATTTTTTTTTAATTATTTATTACTTTTAGGGTTCACTAACTTCTTAAAATTTTTTTACTTACCTCCTATGTCAATCAGCTTAGTCTCTACCTTATTATAATTAAACACTGTGCCAATTACTCTGTACTTAACATTTTTTATTGTTGTTAATGGTACAACAAAATGTTTTTTAGTACGCATGCACCAAAGACTTGCGAATTTTTTTTTTCCACGGCCACGACCCATATTATTTTAATTTATTTATTTTACTTTAAAAAAGTACAATAAGTCAGTTTAAGGTTATAAAAAAACAATCTCAGCGATTGAGGACAAACATTAAATAATCGATGAATGTATACAAAAAAGTTTTTTCATTTTTCTTCAAAAATAATTTTTTAAGTGTTCAATTGATTTATATTCAATGATTCACTTCTTATTTGTCTTTAATTTTTTCCGATAACAATTTAATATGTAGAGAAATTTCGAGAGAAATTAACTCACATCTAACATCGACGCTACACCAGTAAAAAATAAACTATAGTCTAAGAAAACTATAGTTTAAGAAAACTATAGCTATAGTTAAAGTATATTTATCAACTTCTGATATTAAACTATCTCTAATCGCAGGTTAAGTTTATTTGTTATTTATTTTAGAAGTATTAAGAAATCAAATAATACTGTACTTTTTTATTGGATTTTTTGTGTTGTTGACATTTTATAAAAATTAACACGTGATGTCTCGAAAACCGATGAGAAATTTGGTAAGCCATCGGCAATATATTGCCCGACTAAGACCTATTATTAATCAAATTAATAGAGAAGTAGCAGGTGATGTTCAATTAGAAGATAATCAGGCTCAAATTAATAATTATCAGAATAATATTGACTATCAGAATGTTGAAGATCAAGATTTGCCAATTGAAAATCAAGTACCATTACAACCGAAGTAAGAACATTTTTTTTCATTTTGTATTACTCTGAATCAAATTTTTTTTTTGTTTGAAAAATTAATCATTTAATAATTTTTTTCTTAGTGATGATGAACCACCAGAAATATTTCCTGATTTTGAAGAATTTTATGAATGGGCCCAACAAAATAATGAAGCTGATAATGGGTAAGATATTTGGATTCTGTTTTTATCATTTTAAAATTAACAAATAGTTCTCAGTGTTTGACTATTGATGTAACTTATTTCTTCTGCAGGTTAATTGATGAATTGCTGCCTAATCGATATCCTGGTTTCAATAATGGACATCAAAATCAATATTTGCAAAATGAGAATAATATATTCGAAATTCCTATCAGAAGAAATGATAATTCTGATGATGAAGATGAAGAAAGACCAGAACAAATTCATGACGATGATAATAATCCTTTGTATCTAGGAGCTGAAATAACAAAGAGAGAAAGTATGTTGGTAATTTTAGCAATGTGTCTAAAACACCATTTGTCCATGACATGCATAGATGATTTAATAAGAGTTATTGAATTACATTGCTTAAGCCGAGGATTAATTAAAAATAGTTTATATAAATTTCAAAAATATTTTAATTTAGACAAAGAAAATGTTAAAAAACACTTCTATTGTCCATCCTGTGCTAGTCAACTTAATAATGAGAATGAAATATGTTATATGTGTCCGCAAACAGAAAGTACATTTTTTTTGGAGCTACCAATTATTGATCATTTGAAAGAAATGTATAAAAGTGAAAACTTTTTTAATTCCTTGCAAGAAAGATTTAATCGACCAAATATAAATAATAATATAACTGATATTTTCGACGGAGAGTTGTATAAGACTTGGACTGAAAATGGATTTTTATCGAATCCTAATAACATTTCATTTACCTGGTATACGGATGGCGTGCCGGTATTCAAGTCATCAAAAATAAGTATCTGGCCAATTTATCTCACAATTAGCGAACTACCGTTTGAGGAGAGAAAAAAAATTTTTAATACTTTATTATTAGGACTGTGGTATGGTGATAAAAAACCGCATTTTAATTCATTTTTCTATGCCTTCAGACCTGTATTTGAATCTTTACTGCTCAATGGAATCAAAGTTGTCTGTCCAGGAGAAAACGAAATAACTGTGAGAGCTGCACTGTTAATGGGAGTTTGTGATTTACCAGCTAAAATAGATAGCTTAAACTTTGTTAATTTCAACTCAAAATATGGATGTCCAGTATGTTTTTTCGAAGGCCGAGTAATGCAAATTGGTCCCAGATCGTACTTACAAGTTTACCCGTACTCGAACACTTTTCAACTAAGATCTTCAAGAATCTGTGAAGATCTGGCGCGACAAGCTACTCCTGACAATCCACAATTTGGCATAAAAGGACCTACATCACTGGCTAAACTCATGCCTGATTTTATGAGCGGAATGTGTATCGATCGAATGCATGCTGTTGATGGTGGTGTTATTAAAAAAATTTTGAATTTAGTGTTTAATATTTCATACAGAAATGAACCATTTTCTTTGTATACACATAAAGATACTATTAATAATCGTTTACAATTGATAAAACCACCAAAATTCATTCATCGTATGCCCAGAACAACTGATGACTTAATTCATTGGAAAGCTTCAGAGCTAAAAAGTTTTTTTTATTATTATTCAGTGGCGGTATTTGAAGGAATAATGAGAGCTGACTATTTGAATCATTATTTGTTATTAATGGTATCAATGTATTTTTTGAGTGCTGATGAAATATCAGAACTTATGATTACTACTGCTGAAGACTTTTTGTATCGATTTGTTCGTGAATTTCAACAATTGTATGGAGAAAAATTTTCATCGATTAATATTCATTTACTATTACATTTACCAAAATGTGTGAGGCTACACGGACCACTTTGGGCTCATCATTGTTATGAATATGAAAGTTTTAATGGTGAGATTTTACTTCATATTCATGGAACTCGGCATATTGGATCGCAAGTATCTAGTGGACATGGTCATCTTATTAGAATGATAACAGACGTGGAACAAATTCCAAATGAAAGTGTCCAAGAATTTTGTCGTAATAAAAAAAAACAATCAACAATTAATGAACAAGTATGTGAGGATGTATATAGCATTGGAACATAAAATACTTCAAGAAATTCCTGATATTATTATTAGTGCTATGAATAATTCTGGGATTGTTAGAAACGGAGTAATTGTTTTGAAATTTTTAAGGTTATTAAAAAAAAAAATTATATGTATCAGAGGAATATACTAGAGCAATGAAAACTTCAACATCAGTGGTAAAATACTTAGATGCTGGAACAGAGCAAGTTGGCCGAATACTTTGTTTTATTAAATATCTGCATTGTCAATGTTTAAGAAACAATTGTACATGTAATTTTAAATATTATGCAATTATTCAGAAACTTATTCGAACTAATTCACACATTATTGATGGTGATAACTTTCAAATTGATAGCTCTAATATATTTTATAAGTGTTCTGAGACAAATATTTATCAAGCTATAGATGTAAATAACTTACTTACACCATGTATTTTTATTAACATGAATAACCAATCACATATTATTTATCCATTAAACACTAAAGAATTAGAATAATAATAAATATCAGCAATAAAAGTATTGCGTTGAATGTTGTATGATTAATCCTTTTCAATTATTTGCCTGCATTGTTATTTTAATAATAAATTATTTAATCAATAAATAAAAATAGTTTTTTCATTATTTACAGAGTTAAAAAGAAATCACAAACCACATAATAAGACTTTAATTTTAATCATTAATTAAAAATTTTTATTTTCAGTTGATTATCAAAATTTTCAAACTTCATACTGACATTTTTGCTTTAGAATGAAAATACACACTTTTTAACTTTTAAATTGGAGGACACCAATTCTTGTTGGTAAATAATTAAACACTAATGTATTATCACTTGTATAATTAAAAAAAAATTTGAGCTATATCAAAAACATTAGTTATAATTACGTTAATTAATAAACAACTATAAAAATTCACAAAATCAGGATATTAAGTTGGAATTTATGTTCAAACGATTGTTTAGGTTGTTCAGTTTAAATATATGATCAAAGTCTAAACTGATTCAAACCTGAATAACCTATAGTTTGATATTTATATTTTAGCAGGCTGGTCAGTTTCTATTTAGGTTTGAAATTTTACCGGGTAGTAGGTTGATCAGTTTCAAAATAGGTTCAAAGTTTATCATAGTTTCAACTTGACTAACCCACAGTTTGTTCAGCTCGGATTCAGTTCGATATTAATATCTTAGCAGGCTGGTCAGTTTCTCATCATGTTTAGAATTTTATGACGTAGCAGGTTATTCGGTCTGATAGCAAGTTCAAAGGCAAAGCTACTTTCAGCCTGACAAGCCTACGGCTTGGTCAGTTTCAATTAAGTTTGATTTAATCGTCTCAGCAGGTTAGTCAGTCTGAAAAAAGTCTGAAAAATTTTTATTTTTTTTGAAGCTCCAGCTTAGTCAGGTTGAATTAAATTATATGAGCAGGCTAATCAGCTTGAAATAAAAGACTCTAGTAGGTTGAGCAGCTCGAATCAAGGCTCAATTCAGGGTAGTCAGTTTGAGAATAAGTTCAGTTCAGGATAGTCAGCTTGGTTTAAGGTGCAATTTAGCTTTAGCAGCTTGAATTAATGCTGAATCTTTTCGACTCGGGTATATCTTATTTCTTATTGTCATAAATCTAGTAGTAAAAAAGATAAAGCATTGTCATTATGGCTTATTCGCCGATGACAAATATATTTATCGCCAGTTCACTCCCTCCACATTGGATGAAACGGTCAGACTAGTTACTATTGATGCACAAGAAATTGCAAATTGGATAAAAGAGCATGGCCTAAAGTTAAATTTAAATAAAACGGTTGCAATAATATTAGGTTCTACTGGTAAACTGAGGTTACTAAATACCGCTTCTCTTCCGCCTATTGTTATTGATGGCATTGCATTACCTTATGTAACTACTATTAAATGTTTGGGTCTTACTGTTAGTAATAATCTGTCCTGGAAAAGTCATGTCTTAAATACTATAAAGAAAGTAAATTCGGCGCTTTATAGCCTTAAAGTTAGGAAAAATATTTATACTCAAGATGTTCGTAAATTATTAGTATCAACTACTGTATTACCTATTATTGACTATTGTTCTGCTGTCTTAGTTGACTCTACTGCAGACAATGATTTAAAACTACAACGAGCAGTAAATAGCAAAATTCGTTTTATTTTCAACTTAAGACGTGATGATCACATTATGCCCTATCGGCGTAAACTAAACTGGTTATCAATAAAATCAAGAAGAACTTACTTTCTAGCTACCTATTTCTATAAACTATTATGAGTCGAAAAACCAAGCTATTTAAGAGAATTATTCGTAGAAGATGTATTTCGACGTTCCCAAAGACTTGAAAATAAAACGAATAATGTAAACTTTGTGATACCACCATTTACTTCGTCCTACTATGAAAATTCATTCGTTGTAACCATTATACGTCTCTGGCAAAATCTGCCGTTAAATATTATAAATTCATGTAGCCTTGAAGCTTTCAAATTAACTTAATTTGATTACTTGTTAGAATCCGATTTTGATTAACTTTTAAGATGATGAGTCTCTTTTACTAGTTAACTTTTCTTAAACACATCGAAATTGCTATGATCGGTTTACAAGCAAAGATATATACATACAAAAAACTTTCTTTATATATGAGTTTCTTAGTTAAATCTATTATAAATCTATTATAATTCGATTATAAATTGTCTTATAAAAATTTCACTGTTATAAATTCTTAAAGAAATCTGTCAAACTATAGTTATTATTACTATTATCAAATATATATATTAGGGTGTCCGTTATTTACCAATTTGGTTTTTGACTTTGCAGCGCCCCTAAAATTTTTAGTTCGTGACCTAAAAAAAAATATCAGACCCATATAAGCCCTTAATATTGATATTGAACCCTGCCACAAAGACGATACATTTCCCATTTAAATAACATGGGGTTTTGGCACGTTTTACAATTAATTTTTCTGTTCGTATGCTAGTTCATATACGGCAATGGCAAACAAATATTCTTGTAAGAAATTGAACGCTCTACAAAAACTTACTCTTAACTTTTTTCGATAAATTCACTTGCTCAAAAGTTATTCAAGCTCAAAGTTAAGCTAAAAATAATTTCTTTATTTTTTTTTATTTTGACCGAAAAATTGTCATTATTTATATAAAAATTAATTGTTTATCGCAAAAAATATTTTATTTCAACTGTATTATACGTAAAATTAGTGTTGCATATTTCGATAACCAGAAATTTAAATTTACAATCTGAGATTCTCTTAAAATTTTGCAATTTATTTGCATATTGGAAAAAATGTAACAGGATTAATAAATTTTCGACATATTAGTGAACACAAATTATTTTGTTAAACATTTCTTAGTGACATTTGGAAATTTCTTTTTATATTCACTAACAATTTGAAGGACATACTGTTTTTGATCTTCGTGCTTAGCTAGAGTGTTGATATATTCTTCAGTCAATTTGACAGCTCGCTCTGCAGAATCATTGACTACTTGTAGATGCTGAACAATTTCCAAACCTTTCAAATAATCTGGATGATCTGACCATAAACTATCATCTAGTTGAAGAAAGTTTGTGTCAATAAAAAATCTTTCGAAAAATTTGAGGGAATTCGAACTTATAAAATAATCAACGTTTTTATTGAGAAATCAATTAAAATCCTCCAAGTTGAAAATGAAGCGTTTAGGATAGTCAAACTGATCCTCATCACTTGATGTCAAAGCCGCCACCATTTTTTGCTTTACGTCAGAAGAGATATTTTTATCAAAAAATGACAAAGCAGCTGTTTCAGGACTTAAATACCATAAATGATTTTTAAATTTTGCTAAAACTGCTTCTGATAATTTTTGATCAATCACACGATACTTATAGACTGCTTTAAGGAATTCAAGATCTTGATTCGGAGCAGTTGCGGCTAAAGGTGCCGTATACCAAAATGGAATGTAAATAAACACAATAAATACTGAAATTTCTTCTAAATTCTTTTCATCTTTTTTGGTTAAATCAAAACAGTTTCGAAAAATAAAAATCTTTAAACAATAAATTGCTTTGGACATCCATCGAGCGTAATGAAACGCTCCAGGTTTATAAAATTTTATGCTATTAGAGTCCATTGTGCCTAGGAAGATTTTACTCAATTCTAAAAGTTCTCGATAGTCATCACGTGGCAAAAGAGTATTTAAAAACTCATCAATTTTTGCAGTCACTTCTGGTATTCGATCTCGAAGTATCTTCTTTAATTTATTTTTCTGTATAGGCTTATATTTTGTGCTATCGATTGAACTCCATTCACTTTGAAATTTTTTAAATAACGGTACATTTGGTTCGGTTGTACCTGGCATTTTTATAGAGTGTACGCAAGATAATACCAATTCATAAATGTGGTGTCTACAGGGGAGGTATAACAAATCTTCATCAAGTTTACGTTCTAAAATAGTTGCAGCTCCGTTCCTACAACCAAGGTTAGAAGCAGTCGTATCACAACAAAGTGCTTTAATGGAATGGTTTAATTCCCACTCACAAATGATGTTATAAATTTCTTCTGCTTGAGTAGAACCACATCCATCAGGCAATGCAGGTACACCAAGGAGTTTTTCTTGTCTATTACAAGTAATCAAAATAGGCAGTCGTTCAATACGTTCAGAAGTCATACTATCTGGGATCAGTTTACCGTCCCAGTGTATAACTGCAGCATTAACTTCAGATTGGTTGAACAGTAGTTTAATTTTTTCAGCCATTTTTTTTTCGTGAATTAGTTCGTATCTCATGGAAAGAAGACTTATTTAATACGAGATCACGTGGGTCGACTCCCATAGCTGGTGCTAAAGCTGAGATAAGACGAACTGATTCTCTGTACGAAATATTACAGCTGTCAAATGCTGCAACTACATCTTCTGTGAAAAGGTTAATAGTTCCTCTGAGATGTTTTGATTCATAATATCGTCCAACTGCTTCGAATTCAGACACGGAGGTTGATTACGAATCACCCAAAGTGTCTCCACTAGACTTTATTTCACTAACTGTTGCTGAAGTGCTTGGTGCATCGGTATCTGTTAAACAGTACAAATATTCAAAAATAGTATTAAAATAACTTCAAAGATCTTATGAAATAAAAGCGCTTAATGTTACCAAAGATTTTTTCTGGACTCGTCACGTGATCTATTGCTTCAAATGATTGAGTTGAAGATACATTTTCGGGGGACTCGTCGTTTCGCAACTGATTCTCCGAAGATAATATTAATACTTCTGTAATTCAATTTAGTATTTAAATAAATAAATATAGATGAGATAGTTAATTTTACTTAATATTTAGTTTTATTAGATATTTTCAAATTATCTGATTCCGGCGACAATTCGATGTCTGTTGTTACATAATCCAAATGCAAAATTCTTTGAGATCGCTGATCAATCAAAAACCTTTGTGTCTCATTATCGATCATTTCGAAAACCTTACCATGAGCAATATCAAATAATTTGTCGAGAAAATTAGAAAATTCTTGCTCTTTT